AAGAGAAGATGGGGGAGAGTAGACTCAGAACTGCTGGGTACAGCTGTGCCTGCAGCTCCAGATCCATCACTAAACATTCGAGATAAATCAGCCAATGAATTCTGTTCTAACCTAAGAGAGTTTGACTTGGGTTCCTGTCCCTTGCAAACAACAGCATCCTGACTAACTGATGCCCCCCTTACAGTACAAATCACAACCGGGGGGAAAGGGAACCCTCCTCGCTGAGGGAGCGGGTCAGCAGCCAGAGGCTTCACACCAGACACAGGAATGTCCCCGAGGCCTGCAGACCACAGTGCCAAGTGCTGATGCTTTGGCGGGATGCAAAGAAACTTACCACGGGAAGGAGACGTTGTGGGCCACCAAGCTGCAGACAAAGACACAGCAGGATTAGACAGGAAGGGGTATGGAACCCCGGTGGGGACTAGTGACCCAGCACTGTGAGCAGGGACAGTGGACACAGAGATTCTCTGGGGCTGGTGGGGAAGAAACAAGACTCTTGTAGGGAGCCTGCAGTGAGCAAGGCCATGGCTTTGAATGTCCATGACAAGGGAAACAGGGGACTCATTGCCCAAAGGACAATCACAGTTCTCTCCTGACACACGGTTTGCCAGTAGAAGCATCACTCAGTCTTGACCTGGGGTGCAGGACAAGAAAAATCTCTGTACTACCCTGGCACTTGACACTGGGGACAGAGGATGCTTTCTGGCACCTGTGTCCCAGGACAGACCCACCTTGACCCAACACAACTGCTGAGTGAGCGTCATGCGGCACCTGCGTCAGGAGCCAGAAGGCTCACGTCCCCCCAACACATAAAGGATCATCTACGTTCCGTGAGCTCAGCTGCACCCACCACATATGCTAAAACATCACAGAATGTTCTGGGCAGCAGGAAAAGTGCACAGTGACCTCATGCAGCTGCTGACGGGGGCTGGGGAGAGAAGCAGGGAAGGAGGAGACACCCAACTCTTGGGGAACCGCAGGACTCACCTGGCCTGGCCGTGGACTGTGGCAGGACAGCTGTCAGAAAGAGGAGGGCAGATCAGACACACTGCGCAGAAGGCAGCAAAACTAGGACAAAGGTGGGGACACAGCCGGAAAAACACTCCGCCCACGCTTGTTCCCTGCCACGTAGGGTGGGGCCTTGTCATCCAAACCCACGCAAAGATGTCCCTTGGGAGTGGCCCAGGCAGCTCCTGCCCACTATTTCTAAATCAAGGTGATTAACTCTGTGTCTGGATGTACAGAGCAGCTTGACCCCAAAGCGACACTCTCCCTGCAGGCTTTAGCGGTTGACCGAGTCAGGAAGACTCAGGACGCCAGCGACAGGCCAGAATCACAGGAGTGGTCCTCCAGCCTCCGCCCCAGGCTGTACCAGGGCTCTGCCCAGCAGGCCCCGAAGGCCTGCCCTTCCCACAGCAGACTAGGCCCAGGGGCAACGCAGTGCGGCTCTGGGAGGGAGTCGCAGTCACGGACTCGGGTCCCTCAGCCCCAGGGAGGACGGGCACACACACCTGTCCGCATCCCGGCCCAAGTACCTCAACTCTGACACCTCCTTACTGGGGCCCCAGCTGAGAGCCCCACACAGGGCAGGAACCTGCACCCCTGTGCCTGAGACTCCCCCCATCACAGATACAAAGGCCACTGCTTGGGCCAAGACAGGCCACAAGAGCTTCTGCATCACACCTGGGAGCAGCAACAGCAACCCTGAGCAATGACTGCACGAAGACACTCTATATCCACCCTCTAGGTCCGTGATCCTCAAGTTGGAGGCTAATTCCCGAGTACCCTCCACGTCGTCACCCTCTGCAACCCTCTGCCTACCTCCCTGGTGAGCACTCCATTTGTTACCAACCTGCCATGCCGCCACCCTCAGCCCCTGTCCCTACGAAACTTGACGGCTGTCCTGAGTGAGCTATTGGCCCTTGACTCCTTTGCTCTGACTCAGCTGCTGGGAGCACTCGGAGTAACACAGTCTTGAAGGACAGAAGATTTTTAACAACCGGATCCCAACGTGCTGTCCCTGAGATGGAGCCTCAGGTACTATTGGGGGTGGGAGGTGGGTGGCTGTTCCTGTCCCAAACGAAAGGTTCATTATTCTGCCCTCAGTAAGCCGGACCCTGGCTCTGAAGACCGCTGCCCAGTCACCTCCAAGCCAATGCCGGCCACTGCTTGCAGCTGGGGGACCTGTACAGACCAGGCTTTTTCCTTCACTAGGGACCAGGACATTACACCTCCAGGCCAGCTGTCCCCAGTTCACTCCAGGGCTTCCAGGTAACCTTGACAGGTCTGGGGGTGGGCCTCTGAGGT